TCTCTACTAAAAATACAAAAAATTAGCTGGGCGTGGTGGCGGGTGCCTGTAATCCCAGCTACTTGGGAGGCTGAGGCAGGAGAATTGCTTGAACCTAAGAGGCAGAGGTTGCAGTGAGCCGAGATTGCACCACTGCACTCCAGCCTGCGTGACAGAGTGAGACTCTGTCTCAAAAAACAAACCAAAACAAAAAACAACAACAACAAAAAACCCACCAGTCACACTACTGGGAAATAACAATTATTTAGGGTATGGGGTGATGACCCAGGATATTTAAGATATGTTTATTATCTGAGAGAACAGTAAGAGGCCCTTTTGAAAAATGTCCTAAGCTGAGGTGAATGTGGGGCACACCTCATATACTCACCCAGTCAAGGATCGTGGCTTTCACTGACTGTTACCCATCCAATGCCACAGTAAAGGGAAGGAGTGGGGAGAGGGAGAGGCAGGGGGACTATGAGAAGAAATAAAGGCCTTTTCCCCGCTTACAATTCTGTTCCTAATAAACTCCTGATAAAGCCACTCATGAGATAACCAAGAGCTAATAAAATGCAAGCTTACCCGGATATGGCACTCTGCCCTTTGTTACCAGCTCTGTCTGCAGAATTCCAAATGACCAGACATCAGACTTTATTGTAAACCGACCATACAGTGCAGCTTCAGGAGCTGTCCATTTGATTGGAAATTTTGCACCTAAAATAATATTGACAATCTTGCTTAATTGTTTTTTAAAAATCTATTTGTGTAAATACAGCATATGCAGGGCTAATCTTCTGTCAATATCTCTACTGTAGTCATCAGTGTCAATTCTTTAAATGTACAAGATACATGGGAGAAACATTAATTTTAAAAATTCATATTGAAATAAATCACATTTATTCCTGATTAGATAGCTGATGATTTAAAAAATAAGTTGGCTGTGGGAACAGAAAACAATTTAAGAAAATAGAGGCTGAAGTTGTAATAAGCCAAAAATATGGGCTACAAGATGTGTAACTTTTAAGTACAGTCTGGCACCTAATAGCTGTAGTTAACTATTGGTTGATGAGTGAATATTCTATTGAGTTATAATGTCTACGGGTTTTCAAACATAATTTCTTTTCTACTTTATATACCGTTCTGGAAAATTTTATTGTACTACTTTTAAAAGCCCTTGTTAATTTACTCAAATATTTAGTGTGTGTCTTTTATGTGGAGGGCATTATGTTAATCATTATGGAAACCTAAAAAGCATGGCTTTCATGAAGTTTATAAACTTACTGTGGAAATAAGATTATAGGTATCTTACATTCTTTAAGTTATTATATGTTTGTAGATAGTGTTTTAAAATAGAGTTCTTTAGATATTTAGACAAACAGATGATCAATTTTCCTTGGCACAATCACAAAACGTTTCATTTAAAAAGTCGCAGGTGGTTGGGCGCAGTGGCTCATGCCTATAATCCCAGCACTCTGAGAGGCCGAGGCAGGCAGATCACCTGGCCAACGTGGTGCAAATCCTGTCTCTACCAAAAATACAAAACTTAGCCAGGCATGGTGGCGCATGCCTGTAATCCCAGCTACTTGGGAGGCTGAGGCAGGAGAATCACTTGAACCTGGGGGGCAGAGGTTGCAGTGAGCCGGTATCTTTCCGCTTCACTCCAGCCTGGGCAAAAAAGCAAAACTCGGCCAGGCACGGTGGCTCACACCTGTAATCCCAGCACTTTGGGAGGCTGAGGTGGGCGGATCATGAGGTCAGGAGATCGAGACCATTCTGGCTAATATGGTGAAACCCCGT